TTAAAACTTTTCTAAAATAAAAGTTTAAGCTGGGTGTGGTGGTACATACCTATAATTTCAGCTACTAGGGATATAAGGAAGGAGGATGGGGACGGGGGTTGTGAGAGGCCAGCCTAGGCAACAGAGTGAGACCCAGTCTCACAAAACAAAATAAAAATAAAATTTAAAAAAGCTTATTAAACACTTTTTATACAAGGCAAAACTGACCATATAAATTTGTTACATAAAACCTATCAGTGTTTTGTGGGGTTTTTGTTTTTTAAATGTAAGAGACAGTCCCAACTTTCAAATGAGCCTACAAGACCCATGTGATCTGACTCTATTTACCTCCTGTGAAATTTCTCCTCTTTCCTTACTCCAGCCCCCTCACCCACTGCCAGGATCCTCCTTGACCAGGCGCCAAGCTGTTCTGCTTTCCAACTGGCTAATTCCTCACCTTTCAGATATCAGCTAGTGTCACTTCCTTGGGATCTCATTCTTGCATCATCCTGCATTGTCATTTGGAGCTCTTATCAGATGTGATTGTGTTTGTGTTTCAGGAATTTAAAAAAATTTTGTTTGCAGTGCTGGGGATTGAACCCAGAGCTTCACACATGCTAAGCACACATTCTACTCCTAAACTACATCCCTGACTCTATTGTGGTTAATTTTTTCTTAAATGTCAGTCTATTCCACTGAACTGTAAGATGCAAGAGGGCTGAAACCAGGTCTGTCTTGCTTATAATGTTTATTAGCATAGTACTTGACACCATAGGACCCAAATTGTTGATGAGTGAGTAATTAAATGAAGAGAAAAGAAGTGTTGTGACATTTTTTGCTTATTGTTCTAATACTGCTAGGTCCAAGCAGTGCAAATGGAGGAGATTATTATAGTACAGTTTGCTCAAAATTATAAAAACACAACTAAAATTAATACACTTATAAGGTATTGAAAAATATCCCAAACATTTCCCCATCTTTTTTCTTATAATTAGCAAAGAATCACAAATAATTAATAACTGACTTGTAAGTTGAGAAAAGGAAAGGAAGAACTTTTAAAAATATTTTAAACTTCCTGCTAATTCATCTGTTGGCATAATTTCAAAAGTGTTAGTATAGAGATTCCAAATAAAATTTTAGTAAAATAGAAAGTAATTTAAGTTTAATTTTGGAAATGTTTTATTTAATACATCACTGCATACTTTGTTAAGGAATTGTGGTTAGAAGGCAAAAAGCAACTCAACCAAGACATTGTATTATGATCTACAATTTAAATGAAAAATGTTCCTACAGTTCTGTCATATTTTTAATCATTGGGGATCTATCCAGTATATTTAGTCCCACGAGAGAGCTTAAATAGTCAGTGATTTCATCAGCACAGAGACAAAAAGGCACCAAGTAGCAAGTGTGCTGAACCAAAACAAACATTTCACTTAAATATAATGTGCTTTATTTGCCCACTTAATGATAGAAGTATCCTGACTTCTCCCAGTAAAAGAGAGCCCATTTTACTTGTGTAATAGGGAGTGTGAAGGCACTCAGAGCACTTAGGGACCCTTGAATCCAGAAGGTTGCCAGAAGAAACTTCTGTTACTCTCCCACCTCCTTCATTTGAAACTTGTGAAAACCTAGAGAAATGCTGCTTTCCTTCTTACATCTCGTCTTTTCTTGAAGGAATTTGAATAGAGATATGTGAAGACATTCTGCAAATGTACATATCAAACTGTTAGTAATGGTTGCTATTAAAGAGTAGAAGTGAGGAAAGAAATATATATGGGTTGAGGGTATAGCTTGGTGGTAAAGCACTTGCTAGTGCCAGGCCCTACAAAAAGAAATATCTATAGCCTCAGCACTATAAAAAGAAAAATAAAAAGTATTTAGCTTTTGTAATTTACTATATTTAACAATATTTTTATATTTTAGTATACTGAAAATTATTTTAAAATTATACATATACAGATTTTTCTGACTTTCCTGGCTGCTGGTTGCCCTTGAGAGAAAATTGAAGCTTCTGGTCTCCCCAGTTATCAAATCCTATCAAGGCAAAGCTGGCTTCATTGTCCTGTGGTGGTGATTTGTTTTTATGTTTTACCTAGAATGTAATTGTTTTAAAAAGGTCATACCTAGGGGTTCATTCTGTTGGTAATGAACCTCTCTTAATTTTTTCACTTTAATATATGCTTTGTATATTATATACATTCTCAGAGCTGTTAGGTGGTATAATGGCCAGTAGTGCTTTTATGCCATTTACTCTACCATCCTTTTGTCCACCAAAGAGTCTCCCTGAAGTTTTGGCCTGCATTTTATTTGATGGATTTTTTTTTTTTCAAAATGCAGACAAATGCTTGGTAGTTTTTCCCAGGTTACATTTATGATGGTTGTGACTCTGAGGTGTAGAACCCTATGAGGCCTTGATGGCCCACTTAGCTATGTTTAGAGAAACTACAAGTGGACTTTGTGAAAAGAGTCCCAGGTCTCTGAGACGGATGACTTCCTGCTGGATGGCATCACATTCCTGTCCTTGGTAGGCATCTTAATTTTTATGAGGCCCTGCTATCCTATTCTCAGGGCAGCTTATCCTTAATGGCTCAAACCCACAATCACAGAAACTGCATTCCAGGAACTTGTTGCTGTTCATTATCCTTAAAAAATTCAACTGAAAGAAACTAGTTTGGGAGCTGGAGTTATGACTCAGCGGCAGAGCACTCGCCTAGCACGTTTGAGGCCCTGAGTTTGATCCTCAGCACCACATAAAAGTAAATAAATAAAATAATGGTATTGTGTCCAACTACAACTAAAAAATAAATATATTTTTTTAAAGAAACCAATTTGTAGAGTTTACCTAAAGAGTAGAACCCATTCTACTTTAATGAATCTAAATCCCAAATGAAGCCAGAGAGCTGAATACATGTGTTACACCAAATTGATCTTTCCATAGAATGATTCTACTGAACTATCCTTTGGTGTGATGCCATTGACTGACAAGTGGTAGCTGGTGAGACAACTCTGTTTACCTAAGAGGTATTAAGGAATTTATTTATTACATAAGCATGGGGTTTCTTGTTTATAAACTCTTGTTTTAAATTTTTATTTATTTATATGTGATGCTGAGAATCGAACCCAGTGCCTCACACATGCTAGGCAAGAGCTCTTCCATCGAGATACAACCCCGGTCTATTTATAAACTCTTAAGGGAGAATTTCCTTCTGAGTGTTTCTGGAGTGATGTGGTTGTAGATACTGAGTTCAAGGCCTGATGGTGTCTCCTTTTTTCCTTTGGCTGCTAGAAAACTTAGACACATCTTGAGGTCCTTACCCATTAGGCATGGATGACTTCATGGGATATATTTTCATTTAGTAATCTCATTGAAGGTTTCAACTAACTTTCTTACCCTTAATTTTCCTTTACTCATTTTTTGCCATATTAAATGCATATTTTTAAAGCCATTATAAATTTTGGGGAACATAGTGGATATACACAAAATCATTTGATTATTGTTTCAAGTAATGTAAGTCAGTAGATAACCAGATTTTAGAAATGAAGTTATACAATTACATGTTTACTTTTGCTTATATAAACATATCAAGAACCAGAAAATTTGATTTTACCACCATTCTGTCTAGACCCAAAGGAACAAATATGGTGGGGCTGGGGTTGTGGCTCAGTGGTAAAGCACTTGTCTAGCATGTGTGAGGCACAGGGTTCGGTTCTCAGCACCACATATAAACAAATAAATAAATAAAGTTCAATCAATAACTAATAAAAATATTTTAAAAAAACAAAGGAACAAATATGCAAAAGCTGTGGAGACCACCATTAGAGTTTCCAAAAAGGCCTATGGCTTGTTCCCTTATTTACTTGAAAAAGCAAATTTTAAAAAATAAAATCACTCTCCCTAAATATTCTGTATATCTCAGTAATCTGATAAATGAGCTATTTATTCAGTGTCTCTCTGGTACCCACACAGTGGATTATCCATAGCAACAACCCTTTTCAAAACTTAATAGGGCCAACTCTGTATTTATTAGGGAAATAATACCACCAGGTTAAACAAACTGCAACTGTTGGTTCTGTGTGTTTACTGTCTTTCAAAGGGATCTGCCCAGCCTTCACTGTGTTCCATGTTGTAGATCATTAGAGAAGCTGAATTAGGGTATGACTCTGTGATTCTGAAAGTGCCATTTTTATAGTATGTTTAGAGTCAAATAAAAAAAGATGATGAGCAAATAAAGCTTTAGAAAGTTAAAGTACTATTTTGTGTATTGAAAATAGGGCCAATTTTTTCCTGAACGGTAGAAATCAGAGCTATATTATGGCAAGTATTATCACTCCCAGTCTACAGAGGAGAAGTGGAATACATAATATTGGCCCAGGAAAACATGTTTCTGTTTTTCTTGAGTCTGGAAATTATAGTGATGTGGAATCTATAAGAAAGGCTGTGCCTCAAAGCTGTAGCAGGGACTGGGGCAATAGTTTCAAAATTTCATAAGAGAACAGATTTATTTTAAAGAATTAGAATTGCTGTTGAAATGTAAATTAAACCTAAGATCTTTTCATGTCACTTGTTGAAAAATGAGGTAGAGTTTAAAATCAAAATAGAATTCATCTCATCGAGTATTCTTACTTTACAGCCATGAATGCTTTGGGAAATTGCTCCAAAGGCATTAGTGTCTCTCATCTCAAATGTCCTATGCAGTATAAATTTTTTTTTTTTTAAATGTAATGTTAAGCATCTGTCTTACAAGGTATCTTACAAGGGAGTACAATAGTCTTTTACAAGGGTAGACTATTGATAATTTGGGGGTTTTTTGTTTGTTTTTGATCTAACAGGATAGGATACATGTTTTTTTCTTATTACATGTTTTTAATATAGATCATTAGTAGGTTCTGCTTTTAGGGATTGTTTGAATCTGATTTGATAAAATCTTTTCTATGTCAAATATCTACCTTTTCTTAATATAATTTTTGGGCAGTTTTAAAACTTAAAAGTATTTCTTTATTTCTTTTGTTTATCTTCACAGATTCTGGAACTTTTCAAAGCCTGATCCTCTTCTTGAAACAGTAGAGCATCATACAGAGTTTACATGTGGTTTAGATTTCAGTCTTCAGAGCCCCACTCAGGTAAGGATGTAATCTCACGTTTTTTTCTACCCATACAGTTCACTACTAGGTCTCCATGTGGGATATGTTGCCTTTGCTAGACAGACTTGGGCATTTGAACATTGAAGTACTAGGGAACAAGAGTTATCCAGAAACTTGCTGTGCCTCTCTCTCCTCTTTTACTTCTCTGGGAGAAGAAGAACTGTTTAAAGAGGTGTCATGCCTAACGTGTTGAAAGCTTTGCATTGGCCTCGCCAAAGAAATAAGATTAAGATGGAATGGGGACATCTGTCCCCAGGTTAACCCAAGTCAGTGGCACATCATGCTATATTCAGCAGTAAGCAGTGACCATGGGCAGGTCATTTCCCTCTCTGAACTGTCGCCTTTGTTTCTATAACCTATATTCATTGAGAGTTCAGATGGAGAACAACATAGAAGAGAAGAATTTCTGTTTTAATAAACAAATTTTGTATTTTCCCTCTTTTATTCTCTTGAGGACTTGAGAATAAATACTTTGTACTCTACGTGTTCTTCAGGTTTGTAAAAAAGCTTTTCCAGGGCTGGGGTTGTAGCTCAGCAGTAGAGCGCTCACCTAGCACGTGCAAGGCCCTGGGTTTAATCCTCAGCACCACATTAAAATAAAGGTATTGTGTCCAACCACAACTAAAAAATAAAATATTAAAAATATATATTTAAGGGCTGGGGCTGTCGCTCAATGGCAGAACGCTTGCCTGGCAGGTGTGAGGCATGGGTTTGATCCTCGGCACCACATAAAAATAAACAAATAAAATAAAGTCATCCTGTCCATTTACAACTATAAAAAATTAAGAAAAAAATTTTTTAAAAAATCTTTTCCATTTCAGAAATTGTACATTTAGGTTAAGTCAGAAACACTATAAATATATAATAAGGTACTTTGTAAAACAAACTGTGTGAAAAAGCCAGCATATCATTGAAACTCAAAATAGTACATGGAAATACTAGCATTGGATTAAGGGATTATGCTTTTATGATAATTTTTAAAAGTTAAAATGAAAAGCCATTTCACATTACTATATTCTTAAATTTAACTATATACACAGATTTCATTTTAGGATTTTAACATGCAGTTTAAAATATTCTTAGTAGACATTAGAATATTCTCATTAACATTAAAATATTTGTTTAAAAATGACATAATATCATGTAACAAGAGGATGAAATAGTGATGAGTGAGATGGAAGTATTCTAAATGTGAATATATTCTTTAAATGAATTAGTTCCTTTACTGAGAAATACATTTGCTGCCCCTTAAGGTCATACCTTGATAATTTTGAAAAAGATAATTATACTTGTTTCTAGCCTAGTAAAGAAAAAACTTGTAACGTGCCCATTGAAATATAGCACTAAGAAACAAAGGATATCCTATGTAGACATACATTAAGCCTTCACGTTTAATATTTTTATTACCTGTGCTCTGTGAGACTTAGACTGGGACCTGTGGAAGCACCTGTAGCTCCTCTATTTGCTTGGTTGTGGTCCTCGCTGAAATCTGAAGAATGCCAAATGTTTTGTAAATCCTCTATAGACTTGCCTTATTAAAAGGAACCTTGTAATCAGGATTTTATCAATCATTGACATACATTTTTAACTAACAACAGATTTTATTGCAACACCATATATTTTGTTTGTAGCCTGGCAATTGCCATCTGTCTCTTCCAGTTGGATAACCAAATTCCATGTGTACTAAGGAAGTAGTTGCTATTGAGAGCAAGTAGGAGTGGAGAAGCAGGGATCTTTGAGCTGTAAATAAGCAGCAGGCTCAATGGCATAATGCACAGTTCAGATGTGCCAGAAATCTCCTTTTAGTTCATTCATAATGAACACAATTTTGGGATTGTGGGACCTGGAGATAAGAGTACTTCCTTTCATTCATTTATTCTTCCAGCAAATATTCTCATACACCAGATCTTGTGTTAGGTACTGAGGATTCAAAGTGGAATAAAAATAAATATGTCCCCTCCCTTCATAAATCATTTATTTCAGTGTTATATCAGAATGTCTCACAAATGAATGTAAGTAGATGGCTATGACAAGTTCTAAGAAGAGGTGCATTGTTCCTCAAGAGTTCATAATAAGGATAGGCATTTGACCTATATGAGACATCTATAAGGGCTAGAGAGCAAGAGGGGCAGTGAGAGGAAGTAGGTAGGGGACAAATTGTGTAGAAACAATAGAGCATCATACAGAGTTTACCTGTAGGTGCATGTAGACCATACTGTTTTTAAGTCTCACTGTAATTCCAGTATAACAGTGGTAATGTAACTCAGTGGTAGAGCACTTACCTAGCATGCATGAGACCCTGAGTTTGATCCCCAGCACTGCCAAAGGGGAGGTGGGGAATCTGTAGAAAATGAGGCTCATCCGAGATCTGATGAGTAGGAAGGTGTCAATGATTTGAAGATACAGAAGGAAAATGATAAACAGGCAAAGGGGTACTTTTGCTTGAATGGAGTGTCAAAGGCTTTCAGAAAAGGGAAATTAAGCTGGAAACTAACAAGATGGAGCCATTCATCCATGAGTTTGGTATGACCTTAAGGGGCAGCAAGAAGTCCAGTGTGACTAGATCCCAGAGAACAGGAGAGAGAGTGATATGAAGTAGGTAGGGGACAATTATATAGGCCTTGTAAGCCACTGTATTCTCACTGAAATTGCGTTGGAGGCTTAAAAGCAGAAAAATAATAGAATCCAGATTGTCTTGAAAAGATCATTCTGGTAGCTATGGAGAATAGACAATATAAGAGTGAAAATTAGGAAGCCACTTTGGAGTCTCTTGAAGTAATACAGGCAAAAGACAATGGTGAGTTAGAGTAAAAGAGATGGAGAGACTCAGAATATATGAGGTTGAACCACATTAATTTGCTGGAACTTTTACATGGTTCAGCCTAACGATTTGAAGATGGCAACAATAGAATTTACTGACAGATTGGAAGTGGACTGTGAAAGAAATAGAAGGGTCAAGTTTTACGCTAGGATTTGGACGTAGGAGACAAGGTGAACAATGATTAAATTTAGTGACTAGGGGAAGAGGAGAGGTTTGGGACAGGGAGAATTATTTTTGAGATATCTCCTGTTTGATATTCAAATGGATGTCTGGTAGACAGAAATAGGCTTGTCTGTCTCAGGGGACAGTTTATATGCAAAAGTGAAATGTGTGGGAGTAAGCAAACAAGGGAAGTGAAGGAGGAGTTGGAAGTATACCATTTTAAAGTTGTTATTACTACATTTAAAGTGATATTATTTGAGGGTACCCTATGGTAAAATCAGTATATATATGTAAACCACCATGGTAATCTTTTAAGAAGTTTTAGAAAAAGAGGTATAACTAATAAGCCAGTTGTGGAGGTAAAATGGAATTATAAAAAATAATTAATTACTTCAAGATAATGTAGGCCATGTATAAAAAACCACAGCCAACATATATTCAGTTATAAGACCAAAAGCTTTTCCTTTAAAGTCAGGAATAAGACAAGGATACACACTTTTTATTACTTCTATTCAACAGAGTATTAGAAGTTCAAGCCACAGGCAACAAAAGACAAGTATCAAAATTGGAAAGGAGGGGCTAGGGTTGTGGTTCAGTGGTCGAGTACTTGCCTGGCATGTGTGAGGCACTGGGTTCAAGCCTAAGCACTGCATATAAATAAATAAATAAATAGAAAGGTCAACTGACAATTTAAGAATATATTTTAAAAAATTGGAAAGGAGGGCTGGGGATGTGGCTCAAGCGGTAGCGCGCTCGCCTGCCATGCGTGCAGCCCGGGTTCGATCCTCAGCACCACATAGAAACAAAGATGTTGTGTCTGCTGAAAACTAAAAAATAAATATTAAAAATTCTCTATCTCTCTTGCTCTCTCTTTAAAAAAAAAAAATTGGAAAGGAAAAAAATAAAATCATCTCCCTTCACAGATGACATGATCTTAAATGTAGAAGACCTTTAAATCTAACCAAATCAACCAACAGTTATATTTAATGTAAGTCTACATACTCTAGTTAAGAGACAGATAAAGCCAGATGTGGTGGCACACGCCTGTAATTCAGCAGCTCCGGAGGCTGAGACAGGAGGATTGTGAGTTTAAAGCCAGCCTCAGCAACAGCGAGGCACTAAGCAACTCAGGAAGACCCTGTCTGTAAATAAAATAGAAAATAGGACTGGTGATGTGGCTCAGTGGTTGAGTGCCCCCGAGTTCAATCCGCAGTACCAAAAAAAGAAAAAGACAGATAAAAAAACAATATAATTGAGAAACTATGAGAGACTCATTAGATTAAGACTTTGTGACCTAGTGGATTTTGGATTTGAAGAAGGAGTTTTCTAACTCCAAGTTCTAAAATCCAGTTACTTTTTTATATAAAATTTTAATTATACACTTGTAATATTCTTCTCCCTATAAATTTATCTTAGTTTATACTTTTGTCTGCATTTTATTTACATTCTTTTGTGGACTTTAAGCTTTCCTTTCAAATTTAAGATGATGATGTCAACTGATATTTGTCATATACTTAAAATCAACATCTTCCTTCCTTCCTTCCTTCCTTCCTTCCTTCCTGTGCTGGGGATTGAATCCAGGGCCTTACTCATGCTAGGCAAGCATTGTACTGCTGAGCTATATCCCTAACCATCATCAGTTCATTTTAACACAAACATTTGAATTATTTACATTATAATTTGTTGTTACCAAGTAAAATATTAAACTCCTTTTTAGGGGAGATAAGAATTAAGTTCTTCAGGTGTCTCCTTATTTTTTTGCCCCTTACTTTATCAGTGCTCTATTACTATATAACAATCTATTCCATGACTTACAGACAACAAGTTTTATTTGCTCACAATTCTGTGAGTCAGCAGTTTGGGCCTGATGGTTCCTCTGTTGGTCTCACCTGGGGACCTCACGTAGTCCAGTCTTTTGGGGGCTTAAATGAGGATAGGTGGTCTGAGATGGCCACATTCACAGATTTGGTGGGCAGTGCTGGCTGCCTGCTGGGCC